GGAGCCCTCACTGGGCTAAACTCGGGGACAGGAGCCCTTACTGGGCTAAACTCGGGGACAGGAACACTCACTGGGCTAGATTCGGGGGTTGGAGCCGACACTGGAGCGAGCTCTAGGGCTGGAACCGACACTGGAGCGAGCTCTGGGGCTCGATCCGACACTGGAGCGAGCACTCTGGCGAGGAAGAGGGCCCTGAGCCAGTCATTTCTCCTCTTCTGATTACGGGTGAACTGGGCGGGCTTGTCGTTGCGGTGGCCGGCAGGCTTGGGTCAGCGGTGGCCGGCGGGCTTGAGAGAGCTGTGGCCGGCGGGCCTGACTCGGGAACGGCCGGCAGGCTTGAGGGAACGGCTACTTCCATACCGCGGGGGAAAAAAACAGGAAAACATAAACACTTAAAAAAAAACGGAAAAGAAACACGGGGAGAAAAAGCGCCGCTCACTTTTTGCTGGTCCGGAATTCTGTCACGCTTTGCTACTGTGAGGAGCTTGGAGACGAGGAGTGGAGTTCAAACATATAGGTTTAAATAAAATCCAGAAAACAAGGAAAACACACATAGCAAGGGTAGACATATACAATTCCAGACCAGGGAGAACAGAACGGGCTAGAACTCATATAGGGCAGATAACGAGGGGCAGACAGGTGAGGAGGATAACTAATAACAAGGAACACCTGGAACTAATTGAAGTAATGGGGACAGAAACAGGAAAGACCAAATAAGGGCAAGGAAGGTACATGGGGAGCAAAACACACAAAACAAGGAACAGAGTCTGACACATAGTGTGAATTTTAGCCACACAGAAACAACTGCAGATTCTGTATTTCTCAAACTGCATCAAAAGTTTGGAAAATGCAAAAAGCAAATGTGCATAAAACAACTCTCCCCCAAATTTATAGACCTAATCTTGCAGTGCATATTTAAAGTTGTTTACTGTCATTGTCTACATATTAGTCCTCACTGTGTTCACATTAAATGATTATATTTCAAATCAAAGTGATTCACACAGTGAACAAATGGTTTTACTTTTGTTAAAAACGTCAAGTTCAGGTTTGATTTATAAATTAAATCCATAAATAGGGTATTTCGCCATGATTCACTGTACTCTGTATTTGTGTGCCTGTGTGTGTGCTCCAGTCAGTGTCAATCAGCTCTGAGGGTTTCAGTCAGTTTTTGGAAAGCACACTGACATATATGATGGGGTCGTGAAAATGTAGGACTGAAAAACTGAAACCAAACAGAGGTAAAAGGTTTGTTTATTTGAACCTAAACTACATGATTTTTTTTTTTTTTGGGGAACACAAAAGAAGATATTTTGAAGAATGTTGTTAACCAAACAGTTGCTTGTAGCCTTGGACTTCCATAGTATGAAAAAAAAATACTATGGAAGTCACTAGCTACCAGCAACTGTTTGATCACCAACAATACAGGTTTGGAGCAGCTTGTGTGACAGGATTTTTATTTTTGGGGGTAAACTGCCCCTTTAAACTCATTGGTATCTCTACCTTTTTTGTGTTTGTTCGTGTATCATCAGGACTCAGGGATAGACATCGGTGACATTGCAGAAAGGAAAGCACTGAGGAAAAAACTGCAGTGCAAGACCTTCCGCTGGTACCTAGTGAACATTTACCCTGAGATGAGAATGTACACAGACACCATCGCATATGGAGTGGTGAGTATTTGTATTAAACCCAATGAAACGGCAGCAGTTTGCACATGAAAAGAGCAAATAAAGAGTTCAAATACTGTGCAAATAACTGTATATCTTGTCATATAGACTCATTTCCCAGCGGTGCAGTGTTATCTGGAATCAGATTGTGTTGTAATAAAACCCTGCATGTCCAGTCAGAGCAGTGGCAGTTGCAAGACAGTTTCTCTCCACACGGCTAATGCTTTAACCGCGGCTCCTGTGAGTGCTGAATAAGCTACAGCTCATTGTGAATGCCCAGATATTGTACCATTGAGGCAGAATTTGAGAGCAGTGCTCGCCACGTGTGACACCCACTCGCCGTTCCATCCAAGACGCCTGAAGAGGATTTTCCAATTTGCTTGACAAAACGATGCATGTGCAACGCACCGCTAGCAGTTGAAGCGCGACTCACCCGCACTGTTTTTATTAGCCATGCATGTCAAGTCCAAACAATTCATTCGCTTTTACTAGACTAAATAATAATGCACTTGACTTCTCAGTATTGATGCAGAAACAGGCTGTCTGGTTGAGGTGTTCATTCTGTGCTTGATTTCATCATATGTGTTTTCATAGGCGCAATTTAAAAGGAAGAAACTGTGGAAAATAGGTCAGCCTTATTGAAATGAATTCTGGGAGTAAAGGGCTCAGAAATAGCTCTCGCCCTCATTACTTTACTCTGAGTGACTGCATTTGATGAGCCTGTCAATCACGTTGGCTGGAAATTCAGCACGCGGTGATAAAAGGCACAGCAGTATTCAGCTGAATCCAACGGAAAATGCCAAAACAGAGATACGATCCATTGAAGTCCTCCGCTAGGAATTCTGTTGTCACTGATACGGCCATGTGTTTAAACATTATTTTCATTAGACATAACAGTTGCAGTACGCTTTGAAGCCTATGGAGCAAAATTGTTTTTGAGGCTCTGCATGAAATGATTTTACTAATAGGCTCTTTATACTCTGGAGGTAAAATCAGGTAAACAGAAGCGCAACGAGTTCAAGTTATTCGTGGAAGGCGTGACAGTACGGCTCTTTTACTTCACCAAGGACTTTGGCTGGAATATCATTTAGATGATTCATGAGTGTGCATACACTTATGAAAATGAATTTTATAATTAGAACCTGTAATTAGGAGGAGAATTGAACCGCATTACGATGCAAGTGAGAAACAGCCTTGAGTTTTATCTGCTATATGCTGTATGTGAAAAAGAGGGGCGACAGCGAAAAATGACATGCACTTGATTGTCCACTTAATTCTGATGATGCTATTTTTCTCTCAGCTGAGAAACTCTCTGAAGACTGACTTGTGTCTCGACCAAGGACCAGACACTGACAACATTCCCATCCTTTATCTCTGTCACGGGATGTCACCTCAGGTGAGATGCTTTTCTCGCTCTGTTCACCTGCATCAGTGGAGTGACTGTGACATTGGTTTTGTTTTGCTTCAAATCAAATTAATTTGGCATTCTGTGAAAACCATGTGACAGCATGCTTTGCTTGGGACTTAATGAGGAGAGTAAAAAATTATGAAATTAAGTGTTGTTTTATGTGTTGTTTTTTTATTAAGATGAGAAAAGCGGGAGACTTGATAGTGTATAATAGTGTTTAATGTTCAGTTATGTTGGAATTAGGGATGGAGCATCGGAGCGATCAGGATTTTTGCAACCGATACTGAGTATCGATTTCTTGTCATGGTGATCGGCCGATACCGATGCCGATTCTGATGCTTCAAGCTTTATATAGACGGTTTCATCAGGCGCACGCGCCTGGCCCGAAGTTAAATTCCAGTCTGTTTGTTTATCAGTCTGGCTATGGCGCCGGCTACAAACGCAGTTAAAGTTAATGTGATGAGTAGACTGAAGTTGGGCTCAGGTGGTTGTGCCATTTATTTATTTGTGGCGCTCGCCACAATATCAAAACTGACTGATTTTCCAAAAGGCTTCGTTGAATAAACATGAGCACGTACTGCACGTTTAAAAATCAAAACTATTTCTGAAGGAAGCCTATCTTTAGAAAATTTCCGATGTCATTTTCATTTCATCTTTAACCATCCATTCATCATATCATCATGCAAAACATACACAACAAATAGCGAATTTTTAATTGCTTCTCGAAACGTCATAGCATTTCCACACCGGCGATGACATGACTGTGGCGCCAAATCATTTATGTCCCCACGCATCATGTACGTCGTCATGCGTTGACGTCATCAAATTGTGATCAGTTCGTGAGATCGCCCAAGTGAAGCGAGTACCGATCGAGTCATAAAATGTGATTATCGGCCGATACCGATCTCCGGCCGATCGATCGGAGCATCCCTAGTTGGAATTATTAGAACCGTTTAAATTATACTATAGTTACCATTGTGAAACAGAGTGGAGCATTTGCTTAGGCTGTGGACTGGTACAGTACATTTTATTACTGTTTTGCTCAAAGAACATTTAACACTTTAGCATGCTATGTACTATTTAACATGCTATATGTACTATTTGTTGGTAACTTGTTTTGGACAGTTCTATAATTCAGTTATATGTCAAAAAATGTCTGAAACAGAATTAATTCTGTCGTGAACCACATAAAATGATTCTGAGGCTACTTAATTGGGTCACTTTTTTCAGTGTGCTTAACTCTTTCCCTACCAAACACGGAATTTTCTGTGTTTCTGTGTTTTCACTGTTATACACTCGGGGGCACTATTATGCATCTCCTGAATGAGTCTAGAATGTGCTGATCAAAAACACAGGCGAGGAAGACACAGAAATGAGCAATCTCGTATGTATGCATATGCATATAAAAAATAATGCGATCATCGACAATAAACAGCATCTAAATGAAAACTGCCTGATGTTACAGAGGAAATGTTGATCCAGGAAGTGGACTGGACAGGACTGTGCAAGCTTTAGGGGTGCTGATGAGAGCCATCTACTGCATCTTTGCTTTGATCATCGTATATGATCCAGATGTAGTATTTGATAAAAATGCGATTTTTCAGCTTTTTGCTGAAAATGTAGCTTTTCTGTGAAACCTGCCTACATTCAAGTGTTGATAAAAAAAAAAATTTTTTCTTTAAAAGTAGAGGCTCCCTTCATTATTTTGATGTGCATGTATGTTCAGATATTCATAAAACAAAATATTCTGGGGGCCATGAAATTTTAGTGAAAATCATCAAAAATGCTGGCGGTGGCTGGCAATTGTTTTTTCAAAAACAGCGGTGGCTGGCAATTTTTTATTTTTTTTTTCAAAAACACTGGCAGGGAAAGAACAATATGTACAATTTAGATTTGTATTTATCTGGATATTTGATATACACATATGTAAAAGTTTAAATTGAAACAAATAGATTTAGTGAAAATATATACTCACTATAGTGAACTTTTAGTTTTGACTTTAGAAATTTGATTTGGTCAAACTTCATTTTTTTCAGTTGAGAGAAAGTAAATCAACTACTTGTAACAAGTTGAAGTACTTTTTTTTTTTACTTTGATCTAACAACATTTTTCTCAGTGTGGTTAATTCTAAACAAAATTACAAGGTGAAAAAATTTACAACTGACAAAATGTTTATGTGTAAAATCTTTTTTATATATTAAATGATTTCACTTGTTTTTGCTTTTCAAATGTATTTAGATAAACATTAATTTTTTAAGCCGCTTTACAGAAAATGGTGTTAATGTATAATATCTTAAAGAAATAGTTCACCAAAAAAAGAAAATTCTGTCATCATTTACTCACCCTCATGTTGGGTTTCGTTCTTCTGTTAAGAACAAAATAATATATTTTGAAGAATGTGGGTATCCAAACACAGTATTTTTCTCCATACTATGGAAGTAAATGGCTACCATCAACTATTTGGTTACCAACATGATTCAAAATGTATTTTTTTCTGTTCTTTAAAAGAAAGAAACTCATACAGGTTTGAAACAACATGAGGAAGAGTAAATGATGACAGATTTTTCATTTTTGGGTGAACTATCCTTTAAGTCACATTCAGCAAATTAGAGCTGGCTAATTATATAATTTACATTTTGGCTATGTAGTATATGTCCTTTGTAGGTACTGTATGTTTGGATGGATGGATATACAGTACATACAACTTTATATAGAGGTGTACAATAATACAGTTTATATATTTGCAATGATATAAACATTCATGCAGCTGAGATCTTACTTTATACAGTAGTATAGTATGTTTCTTTACACAAGTGTACTGTATGCAGGTAAAGATGGATGTACTATATATCCAACTTTTAATACATCATTGGGCATAATAAAAGTTAATTTTTTACCTTAATTGATTGCCATATCATTAATTTGATGAAAGATTTTAAAATTTTGACAGCCCTAATTCATTTTTATTTGACCTATTTTGTTCTTTATGGTTAAAGACTTGGCTGAATAGTAGTGTAAAACATTAACGCAGCAGACATTACATAAAACAAGGGACAAATAATAAAAGTACAGATGTGCCGAGAAGGAATTTTCGGCACTGATGAATGTATGTTTAAATGTCTAAAAATATTTAAAAGCAGAAAAAAATAAGTTTTTGAAGAGTTCCTAGAAGAAGGAACCGTAAATTGCAAACATTTTCAAAACTATTCTCAGGCACTGGTGCACAAAATATATCACCGATTTTGTTACACATTTGTGAAATATCTCTTTAGTAGTCATGTTCCCACTTGTCGACCCACTGAGGAACGCGGTGTTCTTTAATGTTCAGTAGAGTACAGGTTATCTTGACATGGCCAACTTGTTTCAAAAATGCCCTTTTTTTAGCTTCTTTCAGGAGACAATAATGTCGTTGACCAAATAATCTCTCTTGGTCTTCGAAATTAACAAAATGTTATGGTCAAATCATAGGCGGAGGGTGAACCAACTCCAGGGTAAGGCTAAAAGCAGCCAAATGTATTAAACATCACAAACCTGTCTTTTTAGGCAAGGACCAGACATGGGTGCCATGTAGGCTAAAGAAAAGTTTAATGGGACTGAATTTGTATTTAATGTGATTACAATTTAATAAAAACGTTAGAAATTGATAGATTATATAAAGTTTCCTTTCCACGGTTATTCAAACAGTTAATAAATTATATATTGAAAGTGACATTATCACTAACATTGATCTATCGCGAGTTTAAGCACTCTCAAAAAAAAAAAAAACTATCGTTATAATCACTGAAGCTGTATACAGATCTTAATTTAATGACGCAATCGACACTGTCCATTCATATTCACTTTGTTATCAACAGACGTAATAGATTTAATTTGTTTGTGCAAGAGCATTTTTGTCCAATTGAGTGGCATTTTTGCCCCAAGTCCCCGTGGCCAGGGAAAGGCTAAGCCTTACACACGCTCCGCCTATGGGTCAAATTAATAAAAGATAAGTTTGATATTGTAATTATTTAGTAAGTATTTAGAGAGAAAATAAACTAAGAGGTTTCATGTGTGACATGGAAGGACCTGTAGTGCTCTCCTATCCTCAGAGAGAGTCAGAGAGCAGCACTCGAGCTGATGGCGCCACTCAAGATGGTAAAGGGCAGGAAAAGGGTGAACAATAAGTCATAGAAAGTGCTGCAATACCTGATCCAGCAGAGAAAGGGCTGACTGAGAAAGGTTATGGAAGCATGATGATTCCCACACAACAAGCACAAAAGAAAGAGTTTGGTTGCAGTAGCATTGGCCTATAAAAAAGTCACAGGTGAGAAATGAGTTTTTCAATGCTGGTGAATTGTTAGGCTCACAAATCACTAGGGAATTTTCAGCAGGTGTAGTTTAGAACAGCTGAGATGTTTTCAACAGCTTACTAAAAACAGGAAAGAGAAATGTTTTGTTTGCCATTTTCGCCTGGTTTGATAATTTTTATTAATTCGGTTTTCTGTTGAAACAGAGAGGAAAAAATAATCTAGCTAATCCAGATAAACAGTTACGTGCCCAGACAACACACAATTATGGATCACAAAAATAGCTAATTTAGTGTCTGTGTCTGAGATTAAATGGAGAGCAAATAGATCTTTTTCTTCTCAGGTATTTTAGTTAGTAATGAGGAATAACCATTAAAGGGTTAGTTCACCCAAAAATGAAAATTAGCCTGTGTTTTACTCACCCTCGAAGCATCCTAGGTGTATATGACTTTCTTCTTTCAGACGAATCCAGTCGGAGTTATATAAAAAATTGTCCTGGCTATTCCAAGCTCTATCATTGCAGTCAGCGGGTGTTGCAGTTGAACAGTCCACAAGTCGTCAAATAAAGCTTGTGCATTCATAATAAAACGTGCCGCAGACGGTGCCAGGGGATGAATAAAGGCCCCCTGTAGCGAATCCATGAGTTTTTGTAAGAAAAATATCCATATTTCAAACATAATAAACACTTTTCTCTCACTTCCA